CAAGAGTATACAAGTAATACAAGTAGTATGCTAAGTGCAGGAGGAAGAAAATCAGCTCACATGCGACGACATCATGTATAGAATTCAAGATCAAGCAGTTATGCGGATTACGACACTCGAACAAATGGTTTTGAAACGATTTTGCCATTGGGTCGCACGACACGTAGATGCGATGTAGAAACAACATATTCATAAAGAGATTCGATGAGATCACGAACGAAGTTTTCTCAATGCGTACAGAAGGGAATTCGATCGAAAGGTTCATCGAACTTGTCGATTCGCGCGAACTATGCCGCGAAACTATGGGTAGACGGGTACGTAAGTTTCCTTGATAACTATTCGATGGATTCGTTGTGCAAGAATGATGAGAGGGTAGATGAGAACATTTCCCTTTCTTACATTTTCCTTTCTCTCTCTTCGAATCGTATCATCGATTTTATCATAAATATTATAGTCGTGTACGCGACGTTTCTTCATAGAGGAGTTAAATTAAATAAAAAAAAAAAGACCAGGTACTTTAATTTTGGAATTTCGCTATCGTTGTAAATTGGAACGATTGTTTAAAATGGTTGTCTAGGACAATTGAGTATCGCGGGAGCTGCTGTAGCTTTTTTTTGACGCTACAAATATTTCTATAATGAAAAATTGACTCGACCTCTTCGAACTCGTCGTCGCATGTGATAATTCGTGATGTCATTGATATTTCAGTAATGTACTTTTTCTTCGTTTCTCAACGATACGCTACTTATTTATGTCTCGCGCGATAAAATAAGAAGACGTTGTCACATACGAGGAAGAAAGCGAAATTGGATGTACGGAATGATGGAAACGAGGAAAACGAAGGAAATAAAGACTGCGAGCGAAAACTGTCCAATTATAATCATCGGTGGAGCGGGGCATAATTTATTCGATTGAAAATTTCCAGTCACGTTGCCTCTAAATAGCTTGGGTGTTTCACTTTCGACGCCTGAAGAGTAAAATTCATTCGGAGTGCCCCGAGACGACGACGATGACGGCGTGTTCGCTCCGTGTCAAGGACAACGCGTCTATCGTCGCGTACTTTCCTGAGAGCCAAGAAAATCTCCACTTATGATGCGAACGTTGCACGAGACAACGACAACAACTGCTATATCGGTCTTGTAACCGATCAATACGTACATCTTCCTTCGTGGTAAATTGATAGTTTCTTTTCCGAATTTGCTTCCCGTTAGATACCCTTTCGAAAGGTTGCGCAAGCTTGTTAATGTACAACGATCGAAGCTCGAACGGTTTTACTCGAATGATTCAACTATTTTTATGTACATGTCCCGTTCGCACACAAGTCACTAAACATTTGCTCGTTTCTAGAAAAATGATCGCTACAATGTTGGTATCTGCAATTCTCTCGCATAGTTCTTTCGGCCATTTTTCAACGTTAGAGGATATATATAAATTCTTATTTTGTTCTTTCAATTTCATACATTGGCGCGAGATTATTAATGATATTAGTGATTTAAACAAACGTGATTTATCGATCGACCAGTCGAAATTTAAAGTCTTTGAAGACTTTCAATCTTGAGCAGCGAGTTTATGGCGAGAGGAAGACCTGAAATGAAAAATTAATATCTGACCTCATGGGAATCATTTGACGAAAATTGAAGATATTTTGAAAAAAAGAACGACACTCGAACGCACTGTGAAATCGCGCAACATCGTGTGACAAGAAATTATGATCGCAGATTACAGACAAATAAAAAAAAACACTTGCAACTTGGAAAATGTAGATTATCGTTGATAATTATACAAAATGTGTAATTCCATTAATTGTTGACGAAAATGAAAAATGATTTACACGAAATTTATTGTTGTGTGTTCAGCTACGCTCTTCGACCGTATACCTACGCGGATGATAGTGATAAACCATAGTAATTGGCATATCTAAATATCTGCGCTTCGTGTAGAGTCGGAAATGGAGAAATGAAAGAGAAAGAGAGAGAGAGAGAGAGAGAGAGAGAGAGAGAAAATACATTGGTGAGATTTTTTATGTCCGCACGTCCTGGCAACGATCTTACAGAATTAGGCCGACAGGGTCTGTCGCCGATGTCCTTGACACGCTGAAAGTAAGACCAAGCCCGCGCGCGCTAACTTTAATGTCTTACGCAATCGGTCGTAGGTGTATCATCGCGAGTATCGTCAAAACTCGCATCAGCAGCATAAGCGTTCACCAAGTGATTATCGGTGGAAATACAGCAGTCCATCGTATTTTTGATATTAGTATCGTATAGATATCGATTGATATTAATAAGCATGTGCGTAGGAATGACTCTGGAAGTTCCGTGTGTAGTTCCTGTGTACATTCTTCTAGGTAAAATATTTACGGCGGCTCACGAAATTATTTCAACACCTGTAGAAACCTTTTACGAATATATTATGCGTGTTGTACGAAACACTTTGAAATTTCACCGGGACTATAATGCAATCCGACTGTCGGATAATTATATCACGTTGACGAATTTTTGTACAAGCTTTTGAAATACGAGCAAAGAGGGTACACGCGATATTCATAAAAAAAAAAAAATATGCGTGACGTGTCTAAAGTACCGTGCTTTCATATTCAATGTGATTTTTGTTATCCATTGCACGTAAAATACAGAGTTGAATAATTGTCGTCTAGTGGATATCTATGATTTACGAACGTATCCACATATTTGTTTCAGAAATGAAAAAATCGTAAAATGATGTAACAGAGTATTATTCAACTTATATGACAAAGAAAGTAACTAACGTATAAGGTATTATACATTGTACAATACATTGAGAACTTATCGAAGAGAACATAATTCAAAAGTTCAAAAATTCACATCAAACACTCGTGTTTCGTTAAAAATTAGAGGATTACTTATTTTTAGAGCGGAAGTGTATACGAATTTGGAATCGTTCGCAGAGATCATTTTCCGTACTAGTGAAACAAACTGTTGAAAAATGTAGAATTAAAAGGACGATCTTCCACATTGAAAACTCGGATGACCAGGATACAATCTGGCTGGCTGCCCATGTTTTTGAGGATACGAATGAAATTCATGGACGGGACACATATATACCGCATGTACATACGTAATAGTTCAGGCGCTCAATACGTAGGCGCCAGGCGTCTTAACGCTAGTGCTGCAGATATTTCATCTTGGCGTATTTTTTTGCGGAATGTATTATATATCGAGTCATGCTTATTGCAGTCAGATATACGACGTAAGCATAAGCATATGACGTCCGCATAAATTCGACGACACGAATCACAATACGAATCTTGTTTATCCAGAACTTGTCAAGAAACGAAGCAGTTTGTATAATTAGGATTCATTTCGTCGATTTTCCTCAGTATTTATTATTTATCAATTATGTATATATATCTTTCTGCAAAAATATATATACTTTTCCTGTAAAAAGAATATCAGGAATTTGGATGAAGTACGAAGAGAATTCCTAAAAATAAAAATTGGAATTGAACATAAATGTCTGCAGACCATTTATTAGAATTTTTTACTCTTAAATAATGTCTGTTATATTGTTAGATTATAGATAAACTGTTAGGATTACTGAAATTTTATTTTGCATTCTATATTCTTCATAGAGATTAGCAGTAAAGTTAAATTAAATTAAAAATTCGAAAATTAGGCAATCTAATTTTTATGACCCGCAAAGAGAAATCTACTAGTTTAATTATCGTTTTGGACATGGTTTATTATTTAGTTACGATTAGAATGGCCGCATTGCGTACTGCGACGTGTCTGAACAGGACAAAGCCCACCCCTCAAGGTTAAAAATCGGTATGTAAAAGTGATTTTCGTTCGTTTTCCCATACACGTATTACGTGTGTGTCAAACGAAAGCGTTACGTCTCCGGTTAGCAAGAATTCTCGCAACACTTGAACGGGTACGTTTCCGAAATACGTGGTTTCTCGGTTCGTAGTTACAAATCACGACCGTCGAATTTGTCGTGCTAATGACGAAAAAACCCCGGCGGGCGTGAAAGCGAGCTCTCTAGATGCAAAGCAGCCACAGTTAGATTTTTGATAGAACTTTTGAATTTTCGCAATTGAGAGAAAAAAAAAAAAGAAACGAACATCGAACCGAACGTAGTGAAACCGATAAAATAATCACTGGAACGCGTATCTCATTTATATAATACGCGTTTATAATTTTAATTGTATGATGTGTATTACATATATGTATGTATCATATGATGTATATATGTAATATGTATGTAAAAGTGTCCCGATATTTTATAAATTTTTTACAGGATGTTATTTTAATTACGAGATTACAAGTACAATGGAACTACGATGATTGTACTTTTTATGATATATTTCTAAGTAGAATAATTATAAATATTTCGTCATTTGACAAGCTTTATTTTTAGATTCATTAATTTCAGATTATGATATATTTTTAGATTCATTAATTCCAGATTATGATATATTTTTAGATTCATTAATTTCAGATTATGATATATTTCTATGTAGAATAATTATAAAAATATTTCGTCATTTGACAAGCTTTATTTTTAGATTCATTAATTTCTGTCGGTCTTGGAAACTAGAAACACTTCTCACGTTATATAATGCAAGCGATATTTAAATAGTAGATGTACACTGTCGCTCAGAAGTTTGGAGCACCGTTTTCTTTTTAATCGAAATAGATCTCCTCGTCCTCTGTTCTGAGGGATATGAATATTGTAATTATAAATTTAATTAATCACAATTTCGACAATTTAAAATACTGTTTAAATTATATTTATATAAAAGTACTTATAATTATTTAAGAAAGTAATTATTTCTTTCGAAATTTTAACATGCTGTAAACCTTTGAGTCATCATAAAGTATTTTTTAATAAGTAATTTTCATTTATACGATCATGTAAAGAATACTAACTGCTACTTTGAGTTATGAATTCATTTGCATACTGTCTGAATATTTTTAAATTCACCTCGAAATCTAATAGTACGCTTATTTTCAGATACATAGATGGAAAATAATTTATCGACCAAACAAGCGGAGCACGGTACGGAGTCTAAACGAATCAATGAATCAATATCTCAATGTCAAGATCTGACAACTGCGACCAACTCTGCTTATCCATGCATGTAAGTAGTTACCCTACGAATTGTACATAAGTAGCGTACTTCTATTGTCCGATTGTCTCGCACTGTGAATTGGGAGAGGTGATAAATTGCTACTGTGGTAGCTTCCGTACTTATATAGTAAGCAATGATTCGAAAATACGGCCGGGGAAAGGGAAAGTGGTTTGTCGAGGTTGATCGTCGAGAGTAACGTCTTGCCTTTCTTCCCCCATTGTCCATCAGGCATTATCCATCCTTCTCGGAAGTCTGCCTTGAATAGATGGACGGAATTGTTTCGAAAGAAACGATCAGAATGTGATATCGTGGAAAGGAGGACTGTCCCTTATGGGATAAAATATGTCACTGAATTCTTGATATACTTCTGTCGAGAATGATAATTGACGATAAGATTGTTTATCTGGTCAAGTGCAATTGTTACTGTGGCATGTAAATAAAAATGGAAAAACGAAGGGATGAAATTTCACTGCACGTGAATTTTATGCGTTGAATATTTAAGAGCGAACGGAGCAGCATGCCATCGATTCGGTATTTTGATAAATAAATGCAAACGCTTAATAAAGCTCTCTTTTATCGTTCGGTGCGTCTGGCTGCGTCGCATACTTTCGCATACTTTTTATCAGTTTGCCACGAAAGAGGAAAGGACGTTTCGTGTGTCGATTAAACTTGAGCTTTCTGGTGATTTCCAAGATAACGTTCGCAGCTTGTCTGGCAATTTATGCAAAGATAGTGTCGGGGATTTACGCCTTTAGATTCGGTGTTCTTTCTTTTCCCCTGTAGCACGTGTCCAAGTTTCTGTGTGCATATAAAAGATACGTATGTCGCAGATAGGAGACAAAGAGGAACTAAATTCTCGCGAGCAGTTTAGTTTTAATACGCAGATTAATTGGACTGTAGAATTATTATCAAAATATATTCACGAATTTTGATGAACTTGGGGAAATTCAAGAATCTCTAAATTAATTTTCATTTCTAAAAATTCCAAGATCTAGAAAGAAACTAATTAAGCTATTAAAATTAATTGTAGACGAGTGACGAGAGAGTAAAAAAATCAACGAAAATATATTGGCTATTTCTTTTTTAAAATTTAGTATAAAATAGGATCTTGTTTGGGGCTATACGACGTTTTTAATTATCGCGAAAATTATCAGTTTTTTAAATGTATCTAAACATTATAAATTTATCACGGTATTATACCTGTAAAAATTGAAAATGTCTATAACTATGTCTCTTTATGTCTCGATAAATATGAATTTAACTTAAATTCCATATTTTATTTAGTAAACTTAATTCCGTATTTTGACGAATTTAGTAAAGTATCATTGAATTATATTTAGGTGACGCTATTAATTTATGTTAAGGTGCTAAGATTTTGGATATTAAATTTTTCTTTATATTTTATCTTCTCTGGAGTAAAGATTAGTAATAAAATTCAATTAAATAAAAAATTTCAAATTTAAGTTGACCCTAAATTATTATAATTCTTACTAACTGATAACAACTACTAAGTATCAAGAATTAATATCAATTAAAGAGCTATATGCCTATGGTAAATACACACTTCATTGTCAAAATTCCTAGGATACTTTTTTCCCTAATTCCCAGCATTCAACGTTTCTCGTGGATAATAAAAATTTTAAATTGTACAGATATCTAAATTATTCAAACTTTTCCAATTTTGAGGACATTCGAGTTACGGATGTATAGTATAAATACCAGCTGATCCCAGTGATTTTATAGAGAAAAAAATAATAAATGTTGCTTTTACTTACCAGTGAGATTTATACGTTACTGCTGTAAATGAATAAAAATCTTCGGAATGTTCGTAATGCTACATCTTTATAGATCGTTCGTTGTCCGGTGAACAAATTTTAAGGGGGATACGGAAACGACGTTTGATTTAATACTGAGACAGCAAGTCGAAATCGGTGAAGCGTATTAATGGTCGAGGTTTCGCGTGAGCTTGACAGGGATAATGATATTTACGCATGCAACAAGGTTTCCATCGAGTTCCTCGAGGAATTGCAGGCACTAGAATAATTTGCCGCGGTGATCTCGGTGGACAGTACCGGCAGCAATCTGGCTTCCATTGACACGACATTAGTCTTCTCGATCGTTAATGAAAGAACCATCGAATCGTGGATTAGTTACGGTGTATCTAACGGTGCCCGTTCACGCGTTTCATGTCAACTAGAAAACACACACAGTTAATGAAACGGTAAATTAACGGCCGCTTCGCTCGTGCTTTATGATACATTACACCTTCTCATCGAGACGGATATTATCATATTGTCTTCTCGTCCAGGTGATTTAGAAAGAGGTTAGACGACGATTGAACGAACGGTGCCTGTTGAACGATGTAATATAATTTGTAAATTTGACAGTAACAAGCTGAGAGAAATCAAGAAATCGTTCGTCACCTTGTTTTACGAACGTACAATATTTTTTTTTCTTGTGAAACGAACAATTTTTTATTGTCGAACCTTCATTTGGTTTCTTGTTTCTTTTTTCTATTTCGATAGAAATAAAGAAATTTCTCACTCACGTTAATCTGTTTCGTTTTTCTATTTTTTTTTTTTTTTTTTCTTCTGTTTATCCCCTTTCTGATTGCTTAACGAAATATTAGCTTCGGAACGCGAGCTTCCGGAAGTTGCATCGATACGCGTACGTTGAAATTGCAAGCTTCGCGCATCTTCGTTACTCGCTCATTTTTATTCTTTATTTCACTATTCGTTCTTCTATCAACGCCATTCTTGCTTGGAATTTTTACGAAGGAATATTTACAAAGGGATATTTTAAAAATTTTTGAGCTATCAACAGACAGAAATCATCATTAAATTATTAAAAATCATGTCGTAAATAATTAATTACCTCAAATTTATGCAACAAAATCATTCAGAGGATATAAAAACTTTCCCCGTAAAACGCCGATGATAAAAATTTATCTTTATTTTGACACTGAAGTCAAAATATAAGGGTAATAAAATTATTATTCAATAACTCATAAACAGAAAGATGAAATTGATTGGAAATTGGTATATATGATTACATATCAAATTCAATAGATATTTTAAGAGACAATTATATAATTTTATTAAATAGAATTTTAAGTGACAATTGTGCATGAAGTATTTGTCAAAGTTAAGTCGCATTCATTATTTGATATATAGTGATCGTACATAAATTTCATAATCAAACAATAAATATAACTTTATTTTAATACGTATTTCACTTTTGCAATTTTTTTGACAACATTTTGTACTCCTTTCGTGTGTAAAACCAAATTCAGATACGTACAATCAATAATATATCTAGTCGAATTATTCTGCCACCTTTACAACGAATGTTTTACCAACTTTTTTCAACGAAAGAGAGATTGAGTCGACGTTAGACCCGGAGGAACATTACGTAAGGGCGTAGCGACGAATTTCGAAAGTACAAATATTTAGAATCGTACACGCGTGGTGTCCGTTGTATAAGTTAATCGTGAAATACACCGTAGAAGATCGTGAAATACACCGGACAAACGATTGCTGACGAAAACGATGGAAGAAGCTGGAACATCGAACCCCGAATCTCGGATGAATACTATTCGTGATTCGTGGTTCGTGGTTCAACGGTCGGCACCGTATGCCATACTCTCGAAACGAGGTTATAACCAAGGTTACCAAACGGAGACTACCCAAATACCCAGATACATATGATTATAGCGGTCCCCCTTCTTTTTAATCGAATATTTTTATTTGACACTGTGCTTGGTAAACCCCTGAAACGATCCCTCGACTGTTCTTTTCCTTTTCACAACGCGAGTGGTCAGAAACAATAGAAAAGAAGGTAAACTACGGACGTAACAGGTAAACCGATTTACGCTCATCCCGCGTGAAATTTATCATCTTTATTAAATTTTTCTGAACTTTGGACAACAGTTTCGACTCGAACTTGCGAATCCCTTAAGCGTTCGCTGATTTTTAAGGGATTTTTTTGTGTCGTGAAGAAATAGTTTTCTCTTTTATTTTGTTATTTTACAAATATGCTTGGCAATATTATTTTTTGAAAATGTTGAAAACCTGTTTTTGTGTGTATAAGAGATTATACCGAGATTAGATCTCCGGGGGTTGATAGTTGGTATTCGAAATGATCGATGTATGTATGCACTATATTTGATTAAAAAATAGGAAAATTAAAATTATTTTATGCAATAAAGAATCTGCGTAGCATTAATATATTAATTGTATCATAAATACGTGCAATTTAAAAATTTTATCTAGATTTAATAGAATATTAAAAATATTAGATTTTTTTTATTAATAGAATTAAATATTTTATTATATTCTAACAAATGTTCTATTTTAAATTAAAATAATTAAATATCAAAAATAAAGAAAATGTGAATTATATTATAATGGGCCATATCTTAATACACTTGCACAATGATCTACTGACTAATAAGATTGATAAATTAAGATTACAAGTTGCAAATTGTAGACTATAGATTTTTCTTTTATAAAATTCTTGCAATTATCAAATGATTCGTAATTTGTAAAATTTACTTTTAAATTATCATACGTTTCATTGCCAAACTTGTCGATGTTATGTAAGGATATTTAGTAATGCTAGTAGCTTGCGAAACTTCAGTAATAATATTAATTGTAGGTAGCCTGTTAAAATTAATATTTGTAACTTGTGAAATTTCTAATGATGTTAATTTAATTATACAAAAGAATTCTGACGATGTCTAGAACAAATTGAATTCCAATTTTAATTCATTTTATTATCTATCAATTATTTCATTTGTATCATATTTATTATAATGTAAAATGTAACTAATACTTATCGATAGTGTAAAGTCATGTGATAATGATAATGTTAGATACAAAGCAACATCAGAGAGAGTTTATTTTTCGAATTCATTAAAAATTCTAAATTAAATTTAATCAAATTAAAAGTAAGAGATGCAACTGCAATTAAAAGTAATTGGATTTGAGTTAAATTTTTACAGTGAACGT